ATATCCGAGCTCTGAGGAATATCTGGTACCAAATAGAATTGATGTTAGATGCATATTACGCATGTGAGCGACTTAAAGACCAAATCGTATGAAACATATATATGGAAGCTATAGCTATATCCGAACCGATTTCCACCAAATTTGATGTGCTTGCATCTAGACTGAATTCGGTGGGATGGACCAAAATTCAGAATTTTGGACTTATATTGACATTTGGTGCACAATTATCCCGAAATTGGTTGAAGATATATATGGGAGCTACATCTAAATCTGAACCGATCTTGCTAAAATTTGACAGAGGTATCTCTGGGCTATATCTGATATCTGATACCAAAGATCATTTTTGTTGGGTGCATATTACGAATGTGGGGGATCTAACCGGCAAATCGGATGAAACATATATATGGGAGCTATAGCTATATTTGAACCGGTTTTTACCAAATTTTAAATACTCGCTTCTAGACTGCATTTCAATCGGAAGTGCCAAAATTCAGTTCATTTTGGCTGATATTAGCCATTTGGTGCACAATTAATCTAAAATCGGTTGAAGATATATGTGGGAGCTATATCTAAATTTGAACCGATTCCTACCAATTTCAATAGGGTTCGTCCTTAGACCAAACAAATATTGTTTGCAAAATTTCATCTCAATCGGATAACAAATGCGACCTTCAGTTTGTTCACAAAAATACATGCACAGACGGGCGGACAGAGGGACTGACATGCATAAATCGACTCAGAAAGTGATTCTATTAAAATACTCAAAAGTAACTATGGGTCTATCTCGCTTCCCTCTCCATGTTACAAACAAATGCACAAAGACATAATACCCTCACCACTATGTGGTGTAGGGTATAAAAATCTGGAGGTACCGTTATATGGAGGCTATAACAAATACTGAATCCATACAAAAATTTTCTCGCAAAGAAGACTTGTATCTTTGAATATCTTGTGATTTAACGTCTTCCGAATTCTTTCTGGCCCCCAAGAAAGATAAGGTGCCGTTGTTTTGGTACTACAAATAAAACCTCTTCTTGAAAAACTCACATATATAATTACTTAACGGAAAAATCTCCAGATATTTTTCGTAAAGCCTCTATACAATTTTTATATATCCTGCCTTACGGCTACTGAGGGCATTTATCATTTGAAACGGCCAAATTAAGGTTCGCCGAAAAAATGGCTTAAGACTCCATATATCTTTGCAGAAAATCCATTTTATGGCAGTCGATCTAGAGGGATCCGTCTATTTGTCTGTCTGACTGTCTTGTGCGTTCTATGAGTTTCGACGGGATTATCTGATAACGTCCAAATGTTTTCATTAAACTTAGATCTGTGCCTCTTCCACAAGTGTTCCAGATTTTGAAATTTAAATTAAAACTCTGAATGGATTTTCTTCAAAACTCCGATATACCATGTCTTACGCTAACCAACAACATATGTCTCCCTTTATGTGATAGTTGAATATTTTAAGGAGTTATACACTGTACGACACATAATCTTTAGCAGGCGATATAAAATGGGTATATGAAATGCACCAGAAACGGCTTTCCAGGTATTTCATACATTTTTCTGGAAGAATATATTTTGAGGGAATTTTACAAAAAAAAAAAAACAGTAAAGAAAGTCTTAAAATCGGGCGGGGCCATTTGGTGCACAATTAATTTGAAATCGGATTAAGATATATATGGGATATATATCTAAATCTGAACCGATCTCAATAAAATTTGGCAAAGATATTTCTGAGCTGTATTTGATATATTTCCCTGAATATCGTTGTTACGGAGTGCATATTACGGTTGTGGGTAACAAATATAACAAATTGGATGAACAATATATATGGGAGCTATAGCTATATCTAAACAGATCTTCACCAAAATTGACATACTAGCTTCTAGATTCAATTCGGTCGTAAGTGCCAAATTCCATCCCATTTGGACAAATATTAAACGTTTGGTGCACAATAAAAGGTAAATCGGACGAAGATATATATGGGAGCTATATCCAAATCAGAACCGATCTCGATAAATTTTAGCAAAGGTATTTCTGAGCTGCATTTGATATATTTCCCCAAATATTGTTGTTACAGAGTACATATTACGGCTGCGGAGGACAAAAATAACAAATCGGATGAACAATATACATGGGAGCTATAGCTATATCTGAACCGATTTCGATCAAATTTGGCAGACTTATTTTCATGGCCTAATTTGATTGTATGTGCAAAATGCCATACTATTCGGGCTGATATTACACGTTTGGTGCACAATAAAAGGCAAATCGGACGAAGATATATATGGGCGCTATATCTAAATTTTGACCGATTATCTCCAATTTCAATAGGGTTCGTCCTTGGGCCAAACAAATGATCTGTGCAAAATTTCATCCGGATCGGGCAATAAATGCGAACTGTACTTTGTTTACAAACTACATGGACTGACGGACAGACGGACGGACATGCATAAATCGACTCAGAATGTGATTCTATGCAGATCATCAAAAGGAACTATGGGTCTATCTCGTTTCCTTTTGCCTGTTACAAACAAATGCCCAAAGACATTATACCCTGATGTGTAGGGTATAAAAAAAATATTCAATGAAACTCATCATAAACCAGAGCAAAAATAAAGGAAGTCTTGGACAAATCGTTTTCATCGTTTTAAAAATGCAAATTTAATTTAAATTAAGAATTTAAGATATAGTTTATAATGATTAACTCTTCTTTTCTTACTCCAAATACATGTTTATACCCTACAACACAATGTGTTGGGGGTATTATAAGTTTGATTGAGCCAGAATTTATGTAAGACCTCGAAATATTGGTTTCCCATATAGGAAAGTATATATGGATCTTCCTAGCTCGCCGAGCTGAGTCGATCTAGCTATGTATGTCCGTCCGTCTGTCTGTCCATGTTAATTTGTAATCACGCTACAGGTAGCAATTATAGCCCGATCCTTACGAAATTTTGCACGAAGGTGGGGTTAGGGTCAGAATAGAACCCTATTTCTTTTGGAGATGATCGCCAAATGTTTAGGGGTTGAAATGGACCAAATACTGAAAAAATGTCGGATTTTGCAGTAGCTATACAGGTCGCAATTATAGACCAATCGACGCGGAATTTCGCATGTAGCTAGAGTTTAGGGTTGGGAAGAAGCCTACCAATTTGGGTGGTCATCGGATAATATTTAGCGGGTAAAATAGACCATATCTTTTTTGTTGAAAAAATTCAAAATTTTTCATTAAACCGCGAATATTTTAAATCCTGGCGAAATCACAAAGCCATGACAAGGTTACTTCTAATCTTTACATTGATGTTTACATCCAACAAATCGGATATATAGCAAAATATGTGCGATATATATGTCTATCAAAGTAGATATGCTTGAAAGATCTCTTATATGTCGAGAACGGCTGAACTGATTTCAACAGTTCTCATTAATTCAGAATGGCCTCTTCGGAGGAAAGAAAAAACGTCTAAAAAAATCGCATAAAAATATCTCTCTAAAGATGAAAATATTGATTTTGTAAAATTTTCTCATATTTTTTCAATTTTGTCACATTTTTGGCATATTTTCATTTTGAATTAATATTTCTACAGCTAACAAAACTAAGTAGTTAGGATATCAGGATATCATATACAGATCGCATTTATGGCCCGATCCTTACGAAATTTTGCATGGGGATAAGATGAGGGTCAGATTAGAAGCCTACTCCCTTTAGAGATAATCGCCATATATTTAGGGGTTGAAATGGACCAAAAAACTGCAAAATTGTCAGCAGGTCGTAATTATCGCCCAATCCTCACACACATTTGAATGGGGGTTACCGCATATTGAAAAGCCGGATGGCCATCTAAAAATATTCAATGTGTGAAATAGTTTGCCACATTTTGTAAACAAAATACGAAAATGTCCATTCCAGTGACTCTTTGGAGAATTCACAAATACAGGAAAGAGGTTAACGCTGATTTCGTTAACGCTGATTTCGTTGAAGAATATAGTCAAATGTCTGTATCTCATATAGATGCGTTTCAGTGAAAAAAAATTGATAATAAATTGTAATCTTTTGCCACTTCTGACAGATTATAGGTCTTTGGGAAATATTGGTTCCAGATCTAGGAAGACCATTTACGTGCAACATCTACCAATAAATTGGAAATGAGCAAATTAGTTTACGTTGCTATTATTCGAAAATTAGAGGACGAAACCAGACGGTTTTCTTATATTATTTGTCACAATATCTTGTGGAATTCTTTCGAGTATCTCGCCTATATAAACTGTATCGTTTATTATAGTATTGTAGGGTATTCAACGGTCGGCCCCGCTCGACTGTAGCCTTTGCTTACTTGTTAATTTTGTTAAATTGTTTACTTTTGGATGCCATTAAAATTTTCCAACAATGTTCTACATATGTGGACCCTTTAAAAATGCAATTATCTTTTATGGATTTCCAAAAAAAATTGACCCAAATCTTTAGAAAAGTTGGACACCATTGCCGCGAATATGGCAATCCACTTAAAAATGCATAAAAATTCAAATGAATAATTACAAACAAAACATTATGGCTTTTTTTAACTGGGTATCCCAGCATCCACCTCGAGCGAATCCAGCAACGTCAACTAAAATTAAAATTTATCGATTCTGCAATACTAAAAGACTTAATAACTAAATTGTCATCGTTCATTAAGAACATCTTCAAGCGGTCAATCGACCAAAATACCAAAAAAAAAAAAAAAGAAATACCAGTTCAGAAGACCATGACAACTGCATTGATTGCATTTAAGATGAAAAAAAAAACAATCAATGTGTTAAAAAGTGTTAACACCAACATTTCATAAACCGAAGACATTTTTCCTCTTCACCTAAAGCATCTTAAATTGATAGTTTGCAATTTTTTTACTCCTCTTTTTTCGTTTTTTTTTCTTTTTTCCCAATAAAAATGCAAATAATCACCTTAACAGTCAATACACTCTCTGCACCGCCTTCACTTTGCCTCTTACCTTCGATTTTGATACCACGTCTTAACCTGACAATCACTCAATTCCAATTTATTAGCCAATTCCATACGATCCTGGACACTCAAATATTTCTGACGTTCGAATGACTTTTCCAGCGTCTGCAGTTGATGATCGGTGAATGCGGTGCGTGCCTTGCGTTGTTTTTTGCTTAAGCCCATCAGATTGTCATTGCTCTTAATGCTCTGGCCATCATCGTCTTTGGCACCTGTAAACGACAGAGAAAAGGAAAAAAATTGTTAAAAAAAAAAAAAGAAAAGTGATTACATACAGACATGCCTAAATGTAAAGTTGTCATTTTAAGAAGATCTCCTCGGAGTTATTGTATTTTTTTCGACGAAATCAATGTAAAACCAGTAAAGAAAGTCTTAAGTCGGGCGGGGCCGACTTTATGATACCCTACACCACTTTGCTAATTAAGTAGAGCTCCACATAACAATTAAAAGTTTTTATGGGAGAATTTAATCATACACGCTATGAATATAATTATAATTTAAATTTCAAAGGACTAAATATGCCGAAGCATTTGTATCTTTTAAATTCGGAATTGTATTGCCCATTTGGTGCACAATTAATTTGAAATCGGATAAAGATATATATGGGAGCTATATCCAAATCTGAATCGATCTCGATAAAATTTGGCAAAGACATTTCTGAGCTGTATTTGATATATTTCCCTGAATATCGTTGTTACGGAGTGCATATTACGGCTGTGGGTAATAAATACTAGAAATCGGATGAACAATATATATGGGAGCTATAGCTATATCTGAACCGATCTTCACCAAATTTGACATACTAGCTTCCAGACTCAATTCGGTCGTAAGTGCCAAATTCCATCCCATTTGGACAAATATTAGACGTTTGGTGCACAATAAAAGGTAAATCGGACGAAGTTATATATGGTAGCTATATCCAAATCTGAACCGATATCGATAAAATTTAGCAAATGTATTTCTGAGCTGCATTTGATATATTTCCCCAAATATTGTTTTAGCATAGTGCATATTACGGCGGCGGTGGACAAAAATAACAAATCGGATGAACAATATATATGGGAGCTATAGCTATATCTGAGCCGATTTCGATCAAATTTGGCATACATATTTTCAGGCCTAATTTGGGTGTATAAGCAAAATTCCATACAATTCGGGCTGATATTACACGTTTGGTGCACAATAAAAGCCAAATCGGACGAAGATATATGTGGGAGCTATATCTAAATTTTGACCGATTATCTCCAGTTTCAATAGGGTTCGTCCTTGGATCAAACAAAAGATCTGTGCAAAATTTCAACTGGATCGGGCAATAAATGCGACCTGTACTTTGTTTACAAAAATACATGGACAGACGGACGGACGGACGGACGGACGGACGGACAGACGGACGGACGGACATGCATAAATCGATTCAGAATGTGATTCTATCCAGATCATCAAAAGGAACTATGGGTCTATCTCGTTTCCTTCTGCCTGTTACAAACAAATGCACAAAGACATAATACCCTGACCACCTTGTGGTGTAGGGTATAAAAACGAATACAATGAGTTTAGTACCATTTTAGAACATATCCTAAATTTAAAATTCGAATTTCCAATAATCCTTTGGTGCATCTATCCTGCACTCCATTAGTGATTCTCAAATTTCTCCAAATCTCAGAATTCGAGCTCCACCGGTTCATCACAATTCCAATATGTATCATATTTAATAACATTAAGTTCACATAAGTACGAATTTTCAAAGCCTCCTACATACCCCAATCCTACACTTCGACAGTAGTCTTATATCCAATTTTCAGGATACCAGCTCTATTGGTTCACCCAAATCCAAATTGTACCAAATTTAGTACAATTAAGTACGCTTAAGTGATAATTTCAGGTTTCCAACGCTACCGTTGCATACAAAATTTAAATTGTACCAAATTTAGTACCATTTAGTACACATAAGTACGAATTTCCAAAACTATCTACATTCCTCAGTCCAACAATACTAGCAATCTCATTTCCATAATTCAGGATTCCAACTCTATTGGTTCTCCCAAAATTTTAAATTGTACCAAATTTAGTAACATTTAGCACACATAAGTACACATTCCGATAACTAGGTACATTCCACAATCCTAGCATACAATATTAATCTTAGTTCCAAATTCTAGAATTCCAGCTCAATTGGTTCACTCAAATCAAAGTTGTACCATATTTAGTAACCTTTAGCACTTTTCGTGCACTAAATTTAGTACCGTTTAGTACATGAGTATACACCTCCAAACTACCTACCTTACATCGTCTACACTCCTCAACCTTGATTCCTATTCCAAATTTTAAGTTTTTAGATCTAACCATTCTCATGATACGAAATGGTAGCATCATACACTCCATCAGTGACCCTCATTCCAAATTTAAGAGTTCCAGCTCTTCTGCTTTCTTGAATACAGAAGGCATCATATTTAGTACTTTTTAATAATTTTCGTACCGTTCTAGTACCTCACCTCGGACCAAGGCCAAGCCATATAGTCGGGGATTGATTACTTTACTCTTTAATTAATATAGATACATATATCGGACCCACACTTTCCAAACTCACATAAAGGGTGATTTATTAAGAGCTTTTAAAATTTGTTTCAGATTATTTCATGCAAATATTGACCGCGACTCAAATGGTCCATCAACTTAGTCCAATTTTGGCATATTCTTTCCAACATTTCAGTCGATATCTCACGAATAAATGCTTCAATTGAAACGCCCCACAAAAAATAGTCTAAAGGTTTTAAATCGCACGACCTAGGCATCTAAGTACCGGCCACATATTGTGCAAGTCAAGTTCTAGTATTTTTAACAAAAAAGAATGAATATTATCTCACGGTAGCGTTCACCATTTACAGTTACGATACGATTCGCAGCATCTTTGAAGAAGTACGATCCAATGATACCACCAAGCCATAAACCGCACCAAACTGTGACTTTCTCTGGATGCATTGACAATTCTGTCTATTTACGTACCTATTGAGCAAAAATGGCCATGGTCGCTGAACGCAGTTTTTCTCTTTATTTTAACATTCTTAACAGAGCACGAATTTTAAACAAAAAATAGTAAGGAAAGGCCAAAAGTTAAGCGGGCCGAATATATGATACCCTACACCCTATGCGTATTTAAAAGAGCTTCCGTAGCAAAAAAGTTTATATTGGGAATTTATGTGAAGTAGATCATACCAACTATGAGCCTTATTTGAATGCCTATCATGGCTTTAGAGTAGTCACAGTATGGGAACTATATCCAACTCTGAATCGATTTTCAACAAAGTTGACGGACGCTTTTGTTCCTCTAGTACCAAATAACATTGCTGCATAGTGCATGATATGACTTCGGTAAGAATTATTACCGAACCGATTTTTATCAAATGGAAAATTTTGCCTGAATATGGAAAAATCTATCCAAATTGGGCTTATATTATATATATGGTAGACCATAGCCGTAACATCGAATTAAGATGTATATCGAAGTTATATAAAAATCTGAACCGATGCCGATAATATTTGGCAGAGGTATTTTCGAGCTGTACCTTTGTCCGATATTAAATATTCTTGTTGCGGAATGCATATTACGCATGAGAGGGACTTAAAACCCCAAATCGTATTAAACATATATATGGGAGCTATAGCTATATCTGAATTGATTTTCACCTAAACATAAAGTACTTACTTCTGGGCTAAATTCCGTCGAAAGACATTTGGTGCACAATAAACTTAAAATCGGATAATGATATATATGTGAGCTTTATCCAAATCTATAGCTATATCTGAACCGATGAACCGGAGCTATAGCTATATCTGAACCGATTTTCATCAAATTCGATGTACTTGCTTCTTGAAAGAATTCCGTCGGTGCCAAAATTCAGTTCATTTGACCTGACATTAGCCATTTGGTGCACAATAATCCTGATATCCAATGAACATGTATATGGGAGCTTTATCCTAATCTGAACCGATCTCTATAAAATTTGACAGAGGTATTTCTGGGCTGTATCTGATATCTGGTATCAAATTGTATTCTTGTGGAGTGCATTTTACGCAAGTGAGGGACTTAAACCGCAAATCGGATGAAACATATATATAGGAGATATTGCTACATCTGAACAGATTTTCACCAAATTTTATGTACTTGCTTCTAGACCGTTGAAATTGCTAAGATTCAGTTGACAATAAACCTGATATCGAATAAACATATATATGGGAGCTAAATCCAAATCTGAACCGATCTTGACAAACTTTTAGGCACTTATTCCTGAAATGTATCTGATATCTGGTACCAAAGAACATTGTCGTGGAATGCATATTACGCATGTGAGGGACTTAAAAGATCAAATCGTATAGAATATATAAATGGGAGCAATAGCTATAACTGAACCGATTTTCACAAAATATGAAGTACTTGTTTCTGAGCTGAATTCGGTCGAATGTGCCAAAATTCAGGTCATTTGGACTGATATTGGCCATTTTGTGTACAATTAACCCGAAATCGGTTGAGAATATATATGGGAGCTATATCTAAATTTAAACCGATTGTCATCAATTTCAATAGGGTTCGTCCTTGGGGCAAACATATATTGTTTGCAAAATTTCATCTCAATCGGATAATAAATGCGACCTACATTTTATTCACAAAAATATATGAATAGACAGACGGACGGACTGACATGAATGAATGGACTCAGAAGGTGATTCTGTGAAGATAATCAGAATTACCAAGTTACAAACAAATGCACAAAGACATAATACGCCTACCACTATGTGGTGTAGGGTATAAACACAGAAAACAACATTTATATCAAATTTAAAGATTTAATAGCATTTAGTTCTTTTCGTACAGTTAAAATACGAACTTTTAAAACAATCTCCATATCTCAATTTTATATACCAACAAAGACCTTAATATCAAATGTCGGGATTTCAGCTGTGTAATTTATTCCTTCACAAAATGTAGTACCATTTAGTACAATTATAGTAGGCATAACCAAACCAGGTCCTTCTCTCAGCCACAGACAGCAAAAGTGATATTCACTTCAAATTTCAGGATTCCAGCATTAATCAATTGCAAATATAGTATCATTTAGTACTTTTCGAACAATTATAGTACACATTTCCAAAAACACCTTATATCTTAAACACAGACACCAACAGTGACATACATAAACAAAATTCTTGATTTCAA